ATACATGTATATAAATTATATTCATTACATTTACTTTCGCTCTTCATAATAATTCATTTCGTCCGATTCAAATTCAGAAATCACTAGGACGAAATGTTATGCAGGTGGCGCTGCGGAGAGCTTCGCGAACGCGCGTGAGGAGAATAGTAGTGGGGATCGAAATACGGGCGAAAAAGAGGGGAAGCGAGCCTCGAGGGAAAAAATATGAGCGCGCTGCGGCTCGGCTCGTGGACCGTGGTGGTTTGTCAGTCATTCGTTGTGGCTGATTGTGGCCATTTGCCGATTTGCCTTTTCTCGTGCGCACGTAGCGCCGCGGTAATAATAATAATACCAGAGGGATAATACTTAAGTAATCGGGCGGATTGTTGATCGTCGTCGATCGTCATGGAACAAGATCTACATTTTTCACACGAGGTTTATAAAAACGATCCCTTGTTATTCAAGAGTTACATCGGAATGGAAGTGGACATTTTAACCGTGGATGGCGACACGATATCTGGTATTGCATACACCGTCGATCCGGTATCGAAAAGGTCAAAAAATTGTATCTCATGTCGCTGTCGTTTTTAAACACTTGAGCTCGGTAATTGGTTCCTGCTTTTCACAACGCGTTTATTACCTGTTTTACAGTGTGGTGGTGGTATCATTGCCAGAAGGCCGTCAACGAACCGGCTTGAAAATAGTATTTGGTCATACGATAAAAAGTATATCGATTTGCTCGAACGAACCGTGTCGTCGCCGTCAGATTCCAGAATTATTTACGAACGCGCCAAAAGATATCGTTCGAACTATGTTGGAAACGAGGAAAGCAGCTGCGATCGGAATACTCGTAGAAAATAGATTTCCAGTAAAAGAGCAGAATGATATTTTAACGATCGAGGATGTACTTTCGATAAAACCACCTTACGAACCTACCGATTGCATTTCCGCCAACAGCATCATTTTAAGTAGAATTCAAAACATCCTTTCGCGCATACCTACAAACTCGACAGTTTAATAGTCATCCCTCGCGTCACGTACCTTTAATCGTAACCGTTACGCCTTACGTGTGCGTGCTTACTTGCGTGCGTGCGTACACACACACACACGCGCGCGCGCCAGTAGTCATAAAGAATACACAGGCTTGTCTATTCTCTTGAAAAGGTCATCACCTTATCTCTTTTAATACAAGTCATATTCATTCGTTTACCATAAAATATTCTTTTATTTCGCGCATGTGTCATATAATTCTTTTTCAATTAGTGAATGCGTGATACGTCGTTGAAAATATACATCGAAATAACAATTTTTTGTAATAACAATATAATGAAATAAAAATACGCGCACGGCGCTTCTTCCCAACATTTAAACTATTCGTTTAACGTAGCAATTCCGCTACGATCAAAGAAAATATAGTCTGTCAAAAAAGTTTGTGCACTCCGTTTCAATGTGGTTCCTAATTTACTTATTGTACGACGAAAAGTAATCCTACAACAAGTACGTATACGTCATAACGTGAGTAAAACTAAATGCATCTGGTAATAATAGTACGCTGATGCCATTTTTAGGAAAATGAGCGCAACAGGATAAGTTTTTGAATTAAAGTCGGAAACAAAAGAATGTTGGTTGGACCGTTTTTCTTTCGTCGTCCTTAGAAAAATATCGAACTCGCGCGCAGCTTGTCTACCGACGACTCGTGCGTACGGGGGGGGCAATAACTATTCTTAGTCAATTTTACTCGTTAAAACTACGTGGAGGTGATGGTCGTCGTCGTGAATCTGTTGGCATATCATCTGGCCATCGCGATATGTGCATATGCCTCTACGAGCCTGGTGTGCATCGCGGGCAACCGAACTCTGACGCACTCTCAACTTCTCCATTGATATTTCATAATTCGTTGCACAACAAGTACGATGCGTAGGTATCTAGGCGCGTACGATTAACGACACGTGGATAAATTCATTCTCAAAACATGCGTCGACACTTTTTCATTCATGTCGTGAAAAACAAAATCTACCATGAAACGGAATCGTAACGAGTGCGCGCGAATAGCACGTATGTATCAAAGATTATAAAGAAAGAGAGAAAGAAAAAGGAAGAAGAAACGATGAGCAGTGTCAGTTTCGAAAAAATAATAAGTTATTAATTTTCACTCTGGTATTAAATAACGATGAATAGAGTTGTTTACTCGCGATATTCAAGGATCCAGAAAAATCCTCTTCGTGTCACTTGCGCGGCGGCGGTGACGGCAGCGGCGGCGAATATTGCGACGCGATAAGTTCGACCGAATAGAAGGATGCGTGTGTGTATCGATTGTGAAAAGCATATAAAAGAATGCGTGTAGAGTTCTTCCAAGGCAGTGTGTCGTTTCTCCGTAGAAGTACTAGAAGGTGCTTCTTCGGAGCACGAAGTAAACGTCCTAGAGAGTCCATTTTCTAGGTAGAGCAGCAGCAGCAGCAGCAACAGCAACAGGTCATTCGTCGCTCTCTCCGTCCGAAGAGAAATATTCTATCTCTAGCGGATCGCGAAATTTACGGGAATACCTTAGACCCAACGAGTCTGCAAGGCTTTCGATGCGTGACAATACCTGGGGACGAGCAAAATAAAAAAGAGGAAAGAAAATGAGAAAACACACAGACGGACAAACGGGAAAGGCAATGGTCAATAAACGACGACGACGATCGGAAACGATCTGACACCTGTCGATAAATTCTAACACGATTAACATGTACGAAATAAAAAGAAACTGATATTATGGGTCACCACTCACGTAATCCAACTGCTGCTTGGTGTGTGCGGCAGACAGACAAAAACGTATTCTGCCCTCCATCAGTGGAGTTGCCGGAAATCCAACACCGACCGCTGCTACGTTATGCGTCGTTAAAGTTCGTACGACCGCGCTGTTAATCAATTAATTACCGTGTGACTTGACTCTCGTCAATTACTACACGAATCGTCCGTCGTCGGAACGTACGTCGCGTCGCGTCCCGAATTAGTTTTTGTATACGAACCCGATCTTTGAAAACAGATAAACCAACATGGGCACGACTGGCGAATCCTCGTTACCGTAAATGATCAATCCGATCTGATTCAGTCTACGTCGAAAGTATCTGGTGTTCCTGGCTAATTGTTTCGTCCTCTTCTTACCCTCGTCCGTGCCATCTTCCCCAGCGATTATTTTCATCGAAGTTATGATTTGCTGCGCCACCGGTGGAGACATCGCTGCCGCGTAAGCGTGCGCGTGGCTGTGTATCCTTAAATGATTTATTAATGTCTAAAATTATAGAATTATTATTTTTACTTGATTTCAATTAATGGCTTTTAGTGGCTGCTGTGTCGCGAAAGTATCGTTAACATCTTGAACATATCCAACGACATCGATGGAAACACGAGATACGAGCGCGCAGCGTTATCGTCGGTCGCCGGTTCTGTATATTTAAAACGTGCCAGCGTGAGCATTCCTCGTTCGATGCTTCGAACATTTCATAGTCATCGTCCGACCCGCTGCTGCCGCCGCCTGCGTTATACATGAATTGTGGATTGCGAATGAAACTATACAGAATTGAATCGGATCGTAACGACCGACGATCTCGTTACGCAACACATTTTGATAACGACACGACGGTTTATCGTTCAAAGTGTTAACGATAGATTCGTAGTGTGCACGCGTACGTAGCCTGGAACTGAGAATTTTGTTCACCTGCGTTCCAGCAATGTATCCACCAGCGGATCCAAAACTTTTTGTAAAGGTCCCCATAAGTATGTCCACCTCTCGCGGATCAATTCCATAATAATCGCAAACACCTCTTCCACGCTTTCCCAGTGCACCAGTACTGTGAGCCTCGTCTAAATAAACATATGCCTAGAAGAGATACGGATACGGTTCAATCGAGTTTTTATAGCACGCGTCAAAATACGCGTAACAAGAGTGGTAGTAGTAGTAGCAGCAGCAGTTATCCGAGCAGAGAGACGTACGCACTTTGTACTTTTTTTTAAGCTCCAAGATTTCGGGCAAATGTACAATGGAGCCTTCCATAGAGTAAACACCTTCTACGACGATAACTATCTTCTTCCAAGGTTCCCCGGATCCGGGTTGCCCGAACACTATTGCCGTTTTCAAGCCTCTCTCTAAATGTTTCATACCTGACCACGACGACGACGACGACGACAACGAGGACCACCATCACCATCACCACGATGAGAATAGAAGAAAGTTAACAACAGCGTTCCTTGGAAATATCCGGCCATAATTTTTTTGATCACTCACTATTGTGCTCGAATACCCTAACGGTAGCACCGGAGAGCCTTAATCCAAGTATCAACGAAGCATGATTTTTCTCATCGCTCAGCACCAAACATCCCTTATACAATAACGAAGGTAAATTAAGGGCGTTCGTCGCGAAACCCATACCGAAGACAATGGCATCTTCGACACCTAGAAATCTGGCGGTCAATCGTTCCAATTCTTCGTGAATCGGCATGTTACCTAGAAGAATAAAAGGGGTAAGTAGGATCGCGACGATGACAACGATGTCGAGATCATCTTCGACGAGCCGCGCGCGCGCGCGTGTTATACGCGTGCGTTCGCTGTATCGCGAGAGAAATCGATCGACGTACGATGGAAAGAAAGAAAGAAAGAAAGAAAGAAAGAAAGAAAGAAAGAAAGAAAGAAAGAAAGAAAGAAAGAAAGAATTACCCAGCTCGAGGCGACTGGTACAATTGGCACAACCAAATTTTTTTAACGTTTCGATGCTTTCATCGGCACATTTACCATCCGACTCGGCGAATCCCAAGTAATTGTACGACCCCAAATTGATACATTCCGTGCTCGTCCCCGTGAATCTACACATGGATAGAAAATGGAAATAGAGTCCGTATTAAGTAGCATTAACGAAATAATACTAAGAAGCATTGATGCGCTTAAACGACAACGACGACGACGACGATGATGATTAGAGAAAATTACAGTTATATTGAACGTTAAGACATTTCTGTTGAAAATTAAAAGAATCGTCTGTGTCACTGTATCCTAGACTGTGACACTGTATCCGGGCGCAAAGAAGTTATAAATCTCGTTTTGCGTTCTCTGTGTGTTGGTCGTCAAATCTCCTCGAGTGAGTTCCCTTCATTACATTTAATCAACACAAATGTACGTCTTCCTGTGTGTTCGTCTTCAATCGAGAGTCCCTATGAGTTTCGAATCTGTGCAGCAACAGCAGCAGTTTCACGCTGAACGTGCGACAACTATTTGATGAAACTTCAGGTTTAAGTAAGTACGTGAAACGGAATGGATGTGAGCCAACTAATTAAATTCGCGTAATTAAAAAAAGGAAGAGAAAATAAAAGTAAATTGAAGCGTAAATGTACTACTACTATTCTCCGAATGAAAGATCGCGCGGGTAGTTAAATTTTACCAGTTATACAGTATACCGGTAAAAGTTTTAACGACACGTTATCATCCACTTACTGAAACGTCCATCCGTAATCTTTCGTTATCCTGTCCTTGAGCGTAACCGTGGCACCTGGAACAGAACATATCGGCCTGTTCCAACAATCCCTCACTCTTCTGTACACGTACCGAAGGTAAAATCCTTCGAAATTTTCGTAAAGCGGTGCATAACCCTGAAACAACGACAAGTTGTAATTTTCTTTTTCTCTCACCAATATATCGAGCTAGACGAAAACGTGCGACGATCGTACACAGACGTGCGTATTCGTTTCGTAACGAAACGATTGATTTACATGTGTGTTACGTTTGAGGGGAGCTTGAACGACAAGGTGAGCACGTGCATTAATAAGTTTTTTATGAGTTGCCGATTAAATTTTTAATTCCGAGTCCGTTGACCGGACAGTTATAAATTACGTAGTGGGTAAATCACTCGACTGCTGTGTATAACGCAGCAACGGCCCAAAACGTTCTCGCTGCGCATTACTACGCGTGTAAGGATGCGGAATACACGGACAGTCGCGGCGGCGGACCGGAAATTGAGGACTCGAAAGGAGTGATCATTATCGTTTTCTTTAGTCTTAACTTTAATCGCGTACCGTGTGCAAAACCGTATTTGAATACACTCCTGGTTCTTCCCTGGAAACTCGTTATCGCGGTGAAACGTTTTTCTTGAAATGTAATCTCGCCTACAGTCGCGGTGACGCAATTGCGATGACTCTAATCGCTTCTGAGAAATGCTCTCTCTCGCGCTGATACTAAATATAATATTATTACTGACAAAAATTACATAAGCGGCAGCGGAATAAAAAATTACTTCGGACTATGTATGGAACATATAGTCATATATGCAACGTACTAGATATATACAGTATATACAGTAGATGTAGAGATAAATACGTAGTACAACTTCGAACCGAATCGATTTAACTTCCACCTCGTATCACCACCACCCCTCTTTACGATCACTGTTTTCACAAAATGCTTTCGACCCGGCTCGAGCCCACCACCTCTTTTTCATTTCGCTCTCGTTCCGCGCGCGCTGTGTACGAATACGAACATCTTGTACTCGTATCTGGTAAGAAATATTTTTTAACGTAAACAACTTACCTCTCTATTGTACTCTTGTGCGACTTTCGGTGCGAAGAGCAACTGATTTATGAAACCCAGAAACATAAGGATGTAAAATCCTAAATGGGTTAGCGCCGCAGTGACGAACGGTACCCTCTCAAACGACTCTTTCGACCTCGACTTCTCTGGCTCCGGCTTCGTTCTTTTCTCTGGAAACTATGCACAGTTTTGAATACGACTTACAATTAACACGTACGTATGTCGTACCGATTGCAATATACTTAATGTTCGGTATTCAGAGTCGTTACTTATATTTAAGATCGCCTTGAGCATTTGCTCAAATCCCTGTTTCCTGTACTAGAGAGGGACTGGAAATATGGGACGAACAGGCATTACTCGAACGATCATTCTGTCGTTGATCATAAAACTTGTTTCGACAAAAAATATTACCCGATTCTAACGCGATGAATCGTTACAGATAAAAATTTTACTTCTACTACAAATTTTCGCTGATCTTCTTACATTAAATATTATTACTATAAATGTACGTACGTACGATATCGTATCGTATCGTTGTTCGCTCACAGAAGAGCTCGAGCGAACCTTATGTAATAACGGGTGTTAACGAATCCGTCGTGACAGATAAATCGCTCACTGTAGGAAATCTATCGGATAGCGATATTGTCATCTTTCAACAAAGACAAACGTAAAGAAGAAACGGTTTTCATAGTTTCTTCCCTCACGTACGTACGTTCTTTTTTATTAATGCTCCGTACCGTTAACCGTATCCCACAATGACATCAATCATTTTAATACTAACAATGAGGATGAGATAGTATAGATATGATCGCGTGCACACGTGCACTCTCGAATGTTACGATATTAATCCTCTTGATCGCGAATGATCGGCAAATGAGCCGGCGATGGATAGGATAAAGTAGCAAGCTTATTCATTGTTCGAGGTTTCGGAAATTTTGAAATCGACCTATTATCGACGTGAAATAGGCACGTACACGTGTGCCGCCAAGGACGACGTTACACTTTTACTTCCATCCTCTTCCAAAAATCAGTAGCAGTACGCTTATCTACTAGTTTTTGTTCTAGTTCTCAGTAAATCGTGTCAATTTTTTCTCGCGCAACTGAAAGGTCATACACTACTACTAGTACTGATAATAGTTACAAGTATCTTCACAGCAATCGACGGCGGCGGCGGCGACGACGATCAGATATTCCCAGTGATCCCGATGATACCGAATTACGACGCACAAACTAAGTTCGAAAGAGTCGCGTCTCCACATTTCACGTCGATATCGCGTAGAAATTAGAAAAACTATATTACGCGAAATCATCGCGAAAATCCGTACTTGGTACACGGCGATGGCTTTCGCGATACGACCGACAACAAACGGACTGGTTTCGAAAGCTCGGTAAACATGGGCGAACACGAATTAAATTTAGAAAAATAATCCAATGCCAATCAGAAATCAGGCATTCGAGAAACAAATAAAACTTTTACGTTGGCTACATTCGTCGTTACAACTTATCATCGTTCCATCGTGCTATACAGTATACAGTTATTGTATCGTTAAGAACTCGTTGATTCATCGAATATGCTTGTAACAGAAGACAGGACAGTGTGTGACTGTCTCTGAAATTGCGATTCTTCAATTGGAAGTTGTTTGATACACGTTGGAAGTAATCGAAACGTAATTAAACGCGTTCCGACTGTTAATCGCAACAATTATTCTGATCTGATTTTCACATACTTCCTCCTATCTAGTACGTACACAGCTAAGCACAGTAATTTGTACGAACGGCATCAACGCGAGACGTGAAGTCGATTCGAATCGAACCAATCAACCAGATACAGAATGTACGTAGAGTGTAATAGAGCGTGGAGCGAATTAATATTTTTGCAGAAGAGTAAATTGGTTTTGGTTCATCATCATCATCATCATCATCATCATCATCATCATCATCATCATCATCATCATCATCATCATCATCATCATCATCATCATCATCATCATCATCATCAATTGTCAAAGAAATTCCACGGAGTCGTCCAGAGAGGTCTACTACGTAACGAATGAACGTCCAAAAAAAGTTGAAAGAAAATGAACATGCCTGACACAGGTGGTGGTGGTGCTGGTGACGACGACGACGACGACGACGACGACAACGACGACGAGGACGACAAAGACGACGACGATCAAACCTGTATACGTCCATTGGTGTGAAAACCGGCATGGCCATTGGTTAGAAGAACGTCTTCATAAACCGTGCTCGAGCCATTTCTGTTGTTCATCGTCTCCTTGTATTCATTCATTCTTCTTCTACTGGTCATGGTTGTCGGTTGCGTCGCCATTTTGCGAAGGGCGAATTTTTCACTACGCGGCGCCGTAGGGCCGGACCGGACCGGAGAGAACAACAGGAAGAGAGGACGAGAGAAAGAGAAAGAAAAAGGAAACGGTCGCACACACCTACTCGATTTAAAGGACAAGCAAAGACTAACGCCGCCGCCGTTGGCTAGCTAGCTGCGGTTGGATTGACGACTAACTGCCTTCGCTGCTGCTGGACCTGGGGGGGCAAACCTACGTATAGCGAATTGAAGCACAGTTTCTAGCGCCT